TATATAGATAGATAGATAGATAGATAGATAGATAGATAGATAGATAGATAGATAGATAGATAGATAGATAGATAGATAGATATAGAAAATGAGCATTCACTTGCTTTTAGAAATTGGCTATATAAATAAATTTTGCTAAGGATGAGTAGCTCTCTAATGCTTTTTTGTGTAAAAGTAACTCACAGAACAAAAAAGGTTGGAGACCCCTGCTCTGTTAATTAACAATATAAATCAGTAATGTTGTGTTGATGGTTCTGAAAGATAAACTTGTAATGTTTAGAGTCCTAAGCTTTTAATCACAAAAAGAGAGAGAATATATAACTAGTTATGCATTCAACAATATGTTGTTTTTCTACACTGGATGATTAGTTATGTATGAAAAATGAAATGAATTTTATTCACATACTACATATAATGAATGATAATGATGAAGCAAAAACTTTATCTTTTATAAATATTACACATTTTACAATTTATTGAACAACGGCATTCACATTGTTATTGGCACTTTGCACATCTACAGCAGTTAAGCAGAGGTGGAAAGAGTACTAAAATATTTTTACTCAAGTAAAAGTACTATTACTTTGCTGAAATTTTACTCAAGTACAAGTGAAATTACCTGTCTAAAAATTTACTCAAGTAAAATTAAAAAGTAGCTCATTTAAAATGTACTCAGAGTAAAAGTTACATAGTTACTTTTTTGTCAGCAGGAGGACAGCCTCTTCTGAGTAGTGCAAAAATGACAATGGGATAAATCTCAAAGTAGTTGTTTTTTAATTAAAAGAAAAACTTTACAAATTAAAGTGCAGTGGCAGTTAAAGTGCAAGTCTATACATCAAAATGGATAATGGTCACCAAACCAACCAAACTGTCAAAACCATATAATTCTTTTACATGAGAATGTGTTCTAAACTGTCAAATAAGAGAACAAGTACTGAATTGAGCTGTACGGCAGCTGCTATAAAAATGTGTTTTAAGTTTTTTAAACATAGCCCTGCTCTGTTAATTTTGAGGAGCATTTCAATACAATTCAATTCAATAAAGCTTTATTGATCCTGAAGGTTGACCCCGAAGGAAATTGGGTTAAGGCTGCCGACCTTTGCCAGCGCCATCTTACCCTTCTGACCTTACATACATTACACAAACATCACATGGGGAAGACAGGTCAGAGAGGTATAACAATGGAAAATGCACAACATGAGGAAAGATAAGGAGAAAAAAATAACTCCCCCCAGACTGAGCTCCAACAGGGAGATCAGTTTGAGAACAGAAAAAAACACCTCTGCACATAGCACATGTTATTCTTTTGCCTGCAGTGTGAACATATGTGGGTTAAGTAAGAAAGTAGCCACTTCTGTCTTCTGTCTAATTTAACTATTTTTTTAAAATAAATTATTATTATTAACAAACAGGAAAAATGTAAGTAAACACATTTTCTTTTGGCAATTTACCAATCCTGTAAAAAAATTAAGTTGCGTGGACAACAACGTGCCCAATAACAGCTTATGTCTTAATGTGATTAACTTGAGCACAGCCTTTTTGCTAAAATAAATGTACAGGTTTCATTTAACTTACCTCTACATGCTTGCGCAGGTTTGATGTGGAATTTTTAAAAGCTGCTAACTCGGTCTCTCTGGGCAAACACAGCTTACACTGCATAATAAAGCTGTTGCCTTTCTTGCACTTGAAGCCGAAATGGTCCCTTAAATACGGCCAGAGGTTCACATCCGTTTCTTCGAGTTCAGGGTCAGCAGAATTCAACCGGGTTTCTTTTTTCGCTGGATCCGTACCACCGATGTCAGACTCCATCTTTATCGTGACCCAACGCCAATTTGTTCTACTACCCATCATTACCTGCAGTATTTCTGAAGCGCAATGTTGGGTTTTTTTTTGTTTGTTTGTTCTTTTAATTTACTCAGTAAGAGGTGTGATTGAAAATGTAGCAAAGTACAATACTTTTTAAAAAATATACTTAAGTAAAATTACCGACTTGAAAAATGACTTTAAAAAGTACAAATACACAAAAAATACTACTCAATTACAGTAACGCAAGTAAATGTAATTCGTTACTTTCCACCTTTCCTTTTAAGCATATAAAATATATTAAATTTCATTCATTATACATTACAGGGTGACATGAAAAGTTTTTTGCTGTATAATAATGTCTACAAACATGCAGTTTGTAAAAATATAAATACAGAGCTATTTCATGGTGGGCAATTATTATTATCCTTTAAAAAAAATAGTACAGTCACTCTAAAAACTTTCATACCATAATTCTTTACAGGACTGTTTCAGCATCACTCTACATCTACTCAGGTACTTCACTATATTCAACCTCAACCATTTTATTTGAGTATCCTTCCATATTGTGCATTAAATTTAACTTGAAAGCAAATGACTGTATAGCAGACACTTACTACTATAAGTGTCTGTTATACAGGATAGTATTTCACAACCCTTCATAGTGTGGCCTCTAAAAACACTGTCTTCAGGTGGTCTTCAGGTGCTTGTGTTAAATATAAGTACAGTTTAATTTGAACAATTTTATTTACTTTTTGGGTCCAGAAAAAGAGAATAAACAATTTCAGATTTACTTTTCAGATCTCTTCAGTTCATTTCATATTCCCATTGCGAAGGTCCCACATAGCAGACAGGTCTGGCCCGGATCTGGTGTCAAGCCGGCACTGCTGGCTGACCTCTGGAATGGTAAGTGGTGTCATCCAGATATGGGCCAGCCCTGGCGTAGATGGCACTGTTTATGTGATAGCATGCCACATCTGGCCCGATTGTGGTTTGGTTTATGTGGCCCAGGCTCATAGAAAACAGGTCTGGCCCAGATCCGGCATCAAGCTGGCACTTCTGACTGACTGGTGTCATGGCAGGGTATATGTCAACCAGATGTGGGCCAGGTCTGGCAATGATGGCACTATTTATGTTCCTATTTTCCTATTTTAGTTAGAAGACCCAAATGCCATGTTGCAATACTATACTGCTATGGTAGCCAACTTTATCCAAAACCTAGTGAGGGTTTACTCATGTTTACCACTGGGTGGCTGTGTCTCAGGTGGTAGAGCAGGTGACTAACTGATCAGAAGATTAGTGGTTTGATCCCTGGCTCCTCCAGTCTGCTTGTCAAGAGTTTTAATGTGTATAATGTGGTTAGGAAGCACTCAGTTTGGAGAAAGTGTGTGATTGGCTGAATGTGGCATGTCGTATAGAGCACTTTGAGTAATCTCTGATAGTAGAAAAGCACTATATAAGAATCAGTCCATTCGCTGTCCGAACAGAGTTTTGTCATGTTACTTTTGCACTATTATGTTCTGGCACATGTTGTTATTACATGGCTTGATTAAGGTACACATTAGGCTGACATCTGGGGCCAGAGCTGAAATTGTTCTGGGCCAGCACTGGCCTTGTGTTGGCCCATGTGTGGGCCACCTCTGGCAAACCAGATCTGGGCCACCAAAGGGCCGTCATTCTTTGCGGTATGTGGGCCATTTGTAAGCACACTGTGTGGGCCAGATCCGGGCCATACCGATTTTGCTATGTCAGGTCCTGCCCACCAGGTAGGAAGTTCTATTGTAAGGAAATGGGCGAGCAGGGGAGGGATTTCAGACCTTCTTTGAAGATTAGATAGAGATCTACAAATATGAACCTTTGTTTTTATCCTGGACCATCTTCCAGTTCTTCAGTATTTACCTTGCTATATTTACTCTTGAAAAATCCAGCCTAGAAGTGCAAGGGAAAACATAAAATTCAAGTAACTGTGCATAAAAATTATGTTAATGAAAAGAAAATTTAATTATTTGTCCACGTTCTCTAATAGCTTTTCTTATGAAAAAATTAATTGAAAAAGTGTGATCATCATCTCACCTTATACAGGACAACTGTGAGTAAAATCAGAAAAATCAACCCTCCCAGACATCCTCCAATGATCTCTTTGATAAAATCTGGCTCAGGGTACACTTCTACCTCTGCCTCAATCTGAAAGATGAAGTGACAGTTTGTAAATAAAATGGAAACTGTTATTATTATTATTATTATTATTATTATTATTATTATTATTATTATTATATCAAGATAACATTATATACTATATATATTACAAGTGCTCACCTTGTGAACAGGAGAATTGTAGTCAGACCCTGTTGAAAAGTAGACGTACTTGCTTTGGTCGTACTTCAGACTGACTTGGCTGGTCAAGAGGAATTTGGCAGATTGAAGTCCAATCTAAGAAAAAATCAAGAGGGATGAGCTGAATTTGAAAATGAAAATAAATATATATAGGAAAATATATATATATGAGTTAGTAGTATCATGTAAGGAAGAAGTGTGACGTGAAAAAAAAACCCTAATGTAGCACTTAACATAAACGTCCCATCAGTTACCTGCTCTATCCACTGTGAAGTGAGGTTTCCAGAGATTTCATACGTCCTCTTCTCCTGCCTTTCCATAGATGTCAGGCACTCAAACACTCTACACATGGCCACAGAGCAGTCCTGTGGATCATTTAAAGAAGACTAAATGCAACAAAAGTTGATCCATTGTAATGTTAAATCTACAATGTTTAGACTAATACTTACCACTACTTTATTTTTTTGGATCTGAAGAACAAAGTCTTTAACATGTGGTTCTTCATAACTTCCTTTCTTACAGTCTGCAATCTATAATACATTTGATTTATGGTCCCAATGTTACCACATGCATGTATTACACTGCTAAGCATGAGCCATTTTTGTAGTCAATACCTAAAACAACATACAATACTGTGTACAAGCCTTGAGCCACCATCATTTCTCTATGTTTTGCAGGAAAAATGGAAAATAGTTGCAACAATTTACTGAAAAATGCAAACATACATCTATATATAGTAAATAAGACACAGTGTGTAGACTTTGGCTTGAAAGTCAATATTTGGTATGACCTCCTCCTTTAATATTCAACACAGCAAAACCTTTAGAAAGCCTAAAGAACTATTATTCAAGACCACTTACATTTATCTTTGATAGCAACATATAAAGAAATGAAGGGTGACTTAAGACTTTTGCACACTACTGCATATATATTACCTGTAGGTTGTTCGGATGCACCCAAATGTCTTTTCCCCCAAGCTTCACTGGAACCTTGATCCACACAGTGAAATTATGAAGTGCTCTGATATCATTTGTTAGCTAAACAAGAAAAGAAAACAAGAGCTAAGCATAATAGTTGGATCTAAATCATAGAATTACCTTTACAAAATACAGATATATACACATGTCATGTTCTACCGTGATTGATTGTTGGACTGGTTTCTGCAAATCATTCTTCCCAAATGTGAAATTGTTATAGCTGCGGGAGCTAAACAGACATATTTTAAAGATTGATTAAATACCATGTATTAGAACAGTTGTCACTTTCTATTTTTTTGTTTCCTTTTCTGTTACAAAGAGAACAACACATACCCTTTAATTGTCATAAAAATGCTGTATTTTACATCAATCAATTTCTTTTTGTAGAGTTCACTTGTAGGTGCATGCTCCTGATTTCCACTGAAAGAGAGCGGTGAGCATATTTATACTGTATCTGTGGGTCTACTGCTTAAATGAAAAGTACATGTACCAGAGAAACAGTACCTGGTGGCATTTGCAGTGACAAATATCTTCCTCTCAAATTGACTATTGGTGTCAATCCCATAGCAGACAATGAAGGAAGCCTTAATGGAATGAGAGAGATGAGTGACTTCTCTTTGTCCTTAAGTTGTGCAAAAGTCAGAAAAAACAAATTGATAAAAGATTTTTTGTACAAATAAAATTAAAAAACAAACCTTAGTTTGGCTCTTGAAAATGGGCTTGTCAATAGTACAGTCTGTCCTTCCTCGTGATAAACCATCTTCACTGTCCAAGGAGTTGCACTCAATTCTTCCCTTTTATTAGGAAAAAAAGATTCTTTGGAAGAGCAGCAGATCAGTGATGAACTGATACAGACTTGATCCTGATGCCTTACCTGCTGACTCGTGAACTTCCTGTAGGAGAGTCCAGCTGGATACGTGAGAATAACATGGCTGTTGTAGGAGTTTTCTCCTCTGTTCTCCACTGTGACTGTGACATTCAAAAGCTCATCAATGCCCACTTTAACCTCTGAGGATCTGTGGAGTATGAAGCCAGATGAGAATAAAAGGAGAGGAAAACAAGACGACAGCTGAGCTAAAAGCACAAAATGCTAAATTTATGGTAGTTTTCAATTGAATGTTAAAATGGTAACAACTTACAGATCCTAAGGGATGTAGTATATTAACTTATTGCATTAACATGTTAGCATCTACTGATTAGCCATCCACTCACTTTCTACTGCTATCACAGCTAACATTGGGCAAGGGCCAGCAGTATACCCTGGACAGATTGCCAGTCTGACACAGGGTAGGATAGTGCTTAAAACTCGGCATTAGGAGGCAATATGGTGTTTATCAAATTGTACAATATTTCAGCTTATGACCTAGTAAAATTGGAAATAAAATATATAAAATGGGTTCAAATAGAGAAAAGTTAATTTTTATCTACATTGGGAGGTTTCTTAGCAGATAATCTCTGCCATCATGAGTAATTCTCTGATCAATTATATTTCATTATATTGCAGTCTTTTAAATAGCTATGCTTTATTGTGCACCACAACATGATGAAATAGCATAAAAACTCAACCTGACATTTGTACAGTCATCCCACTAACAGGGGAAAGACAGACTGCACTGAGTATTGGTTATTTAATCGTCGTAGCAAGCAGAAAAATAATTTTACACATGGAGTCTCCAGGCAAATAGACATGCAAGAGTATTAGGGCCACATTACAAAAAATATATATTATTCATTATTAAAAAATTAAGTCTAAATTTCGAGAAACAGTTGAAATACTATTTGGGGGAAAAACAGTTTAAATGTGCAGATAACAGTTGTTGCTACAGATGCTATACCCTCTACAAGATGCCTTGAGTAGATGAATTAGTGAACCATCGATATCTTTACATCTGTCCATTACCTGCCTTTTCATTTTTTACTAATCCACTCTTCCTCTTGGTTCAAGGACTTTTGGACTTCTTTGTGCCTCTTTGTTTCATCGTTTGTTTCTTGTTCTTAGTTTCCTATTCATTTAGTCTGTTTCCTTTTGTGTTCTGTTTGGCATAGTGTTGCTTCTGTATGTCCTCCCCAATTAGGTGAGTGATGTCTTCATGTTGTGTATCTGCCGGTTTCTCTAGTGATGTCTATGCATGTCTGTTTGTTTGCTCTCTCGCCCTCTTTCCTCCCTCGCTTTCTCTCTCCTCCCTCTGTTGCTTGGGTTCCAGCATTTTGCGTCCCAGTGTTTGTGTTCCTCGTACTTCCTGTTTTACTTGGATAGTTTTCTGTCTCATGTGCCTCATATTCAGTTTTGCTTCCACCTGTCCCGTCTATTTGATTGTTGCCAGCCATGTTCCCAAGGTGTTTCCTCTCTGCCCTGATTCCCTTGTGTATTTAACCCTCTCAAGGCAGGCATTGCAGATTTGCAACAAGTAAAAGCTAACAACCTGATTACCCCACATACATACTTTATGAATTTGTTCTACTCAGAAGTACCACTGCAGGTATTGTTTTGTGCATTAGCAACTAAAACTTAATTTGAGCCTGAGAGGGTTAATGTCTGCGTCTGCCTCTGTCTGGGGTCGTGTTCTCCCTCATTCCCCGCTCCCTCATTGGGTCCCCCAATCCTGCCTGCTTTACACAGTGCATGACACGATTCTGAAGTACGATTTCATTGACTCAGAGGGTACAGTAGCCATGGCAGTTTGTCTTGAAACAACAATTGTAATCTCCACATTTCGAATTTTCTCAAATTAATAAATAACATTTTTTCTTCTGTGTCCCTCATACGCCATCGTAAACAGATTTACTATTTGTGTTAGTGTTTTTCTCTTCTTTTTATTTTTGTTTCTTTATTTCTCTTTCCAGCTTTGTTGTGACTTATTAATCATAAGGAAGGAGAATTTTGACAGAGTGGCCATAAATTTTATTCAAATGTTTCAGTAGAATAGTGTTTTTATGCTTCATGTACAAGCAATTAAAAGTAGCACATTTCCAGGCACACAAGTTGTCAAATTCTGGGGTTTTTTGTGAATTTGAGTTTAATCATAAATATGTCTGAGTTCGATTTTCAGCGGATGTTTTAATACTTATATTTTTAATTTTGGATTATTTTTTTGGTTTTATTTTGGTGTCCAGTCTTGGTTTTATTATTCTTGGAATGCTTTTAAGTTTTGTGACATAATTGTCTTTTGGGTTTTGGCTCTAGGTATTTGGCCTCCCCCAGTGTTTCCCTGAACGTGATTTTTTTCTTCTTTCTGTATTTCCCATTCCCTTGTGTTTTGGGATTTGGTCTTTTCTTGGGAATGTGTTATAATTTTTAACTTAGCTATTAGCATTAAATTAGGCTTTTTGTTGATCGTGTCTGCTTCCTGTGTTCTACATGCTGGGTCCTTTCAAATCCATGAGCCACACAGTCGCCTGACTGTGACACAAGTAAAGCTTAACTTTAGTAACTGGGCCTCACCTGGTGAAGTTGAAATCCACCTTCAGGTTATCATTGCAATTCTTGTCAGTGCCACAGTTGATCTCAAAATTTAACTGTGGAGGAAAGCATGGTGTATTTACATTATACATTTCACTCATTATAATTTCATTTTATTGTAATTATACCTCTGTACACCACTAAAGTCAGTGTTAAATCAAACAATGTGTGACTGAAGTGCAGATATTTAGCTTTAATTCAAAGGGTTGAACAAATGTCTGCATTAATGGTTCAGAAATAACAGATCATTTTTGTACAGTTTCAGAGGCTGAAGAGTAAATGTAATACCTATGGACCTTACTATGTATTACTATGTATTCCACAGCAACAATGAATGTATTCTCTTTTATAAGTTAGGTGAGTAGTGTTAGCTGGTTATGTCACCAAGCTAAGCAGCTGCATGCTTATTGCTGTGAAATGGACTAACATTAACCAAAACTTTCTGTACTGAAGATAAAATTCTTTCTAACGATATTCTTGGTCCACTTTGTGGAGATACAGAAATTCTTTTATTGCTGCCATATAATCTGCATCATTATAATTGCATTAATAACATTCTTTACAGCATTATTTCATGTAATAATATTTCTCACAGTATTGATACTGCATTAGAGTTGTTTAATGAAGATGTCCATTTGAGGATCCTTCCATTATGTTAACTTTTATTACAAGTACGGTTAGAAGTATTTTATACATATTGCATATCTGTGCTTATTTTGAGTTGATATTCAGTTCATTAAGGGTCTTAAGCTTCACTGGCGTGACTGTCCAGGTGATACATGCTGAGGGAAACTAGAACATAGAAGGATGATTGCATGCATGCTTACAATACATATAACACATATAATCTAGGAATGTGCCAGGCCTGAGGCCTTAACTCATTTGGTGTCTTAATATATTTTATTCTACTTGGTAACAGACGATCAGAGTCAATAATTAGCCTCAGAGACCCTGAGGGCTTGAAGTTTATTACCTTGTATGGAAGGTGTTATAGAAAAGAGAAGTTCTATGTCTGCTTATAGCTATTAAAGATGTACGATTAACGGTGACTAATGTCTGGAACCTATTTTAATCTGTCATTGACGCCATGGGGGGGCATGTACCCCACTGGTTTATAAGTATCCACAAGATGTATTTTGGTCAGAAGACATATGTTGATGTTTTCTCCGGGTTGTTAATAAACTCATCGTTTGATTGCACTTTTCAGGGGCCTCCATGGTTTGTGACACTGCTCTACATTGATTGATTTCGCGACAACTTCTAAAAAGGATCTTGTTCCTCTGTAGGTGCAAGGACTCTAGTTAGAAAGGCTTGAATATTTTTAATTCAGTGTTTTCAGTTAGAGTTTGTCACTACTCTTTGAAGACCTGACAAATGCACAGGTTCTTCTCAATGCCAGACTTACATAAAAAGTAAAGGCAAAAGTATTAACTGTACACTTATAGTGCACATTGCTTACGGGATAATTAGTTGCTGTTGGAGCATGCGGGGAAAGACTTGGTGTGAGATTTTCCTCAGAAGGCAAACCATAAAAACTGAATTTAATCTCATTAGAAAGAGGACTGAGAGCATCTTCTGGACAGGCCTGCAAGAAGAGAGCAATGTCAGTGTTGCAGGACTACAAGACTAAAATTAAAATATTTTCTTTACTGACTTAAACATCTGTTGGTTCATTTGATAATTGTGATGTTATTAATAGAATTTACCTCAATAAAAAATGTTACAGTTAAACACGTTTTCCCCAAGGTGACAATAATTGATCCAGACTGCTCTTGTTCTTTCGCACTGAAGTAAGCTCGTTTTTTTGAAGGTTTGCGAGTGGTATCCAATGTTAACATATAATCAATCCTTGCTTGAGCTGGAATAGATCAGAGTTTGACTTAAATGTTACAAATGCACATGCATACATAAAGTAATGGTTTAGTGATTTAGAAACAGATAAGAATAATAAACCTGCATGTAGCTCTTTCGTAGACAAACTGCTCATGGTAAAGCAGACTGTAACTGTGTTCTCCAATGGTTTTGAGCAGTCTACATTCTGAGTAGAGATTTGGTCTGGGCTGAATGACACCTCAGACTTTACCTCTACAATGGGTCTTGATCTGGAAATGGACATAATAATTAATGTGCAATAATAACAGTGTGCAATACACATACACTTATTCTTCTTTTTTATACTAAGTTAATATACTGTGTTGTGTTGTGTTGTTTGTTACGTTGTGATGTGTCATATCGTGTCGTGTTGTGTTATATGTAGTGCCGACGTAGGACAGTTTTTCCAATTTCATTGTACTACTGTACTATGTATGACTGTGCAATGACAATAAAGAGTTATCTTATCTTATCTTATCTTATCTTATCTTATCTTATCTTATAATAGGGAAAGGAGATGATGAACTAGACATGTGAATGACTATTACCTTTGTAATTACTACTAAGCTGACAGCTAATCTTCATTGTAGATCATTGTTCTGATCAAGACTTCACAACTGTGCGCACTTTTCTTTGATTTACTCGCACTGCACATTTTATAAACCACTATGTCTACTTATTTCTATCAATATCTCTGCTACTAAAAGTTTGGGGTCAGTGAGAGATGTTAATTTTCTAAGTAAAGAACATTTTCTCTTATTATATGGCATCAACCAGATATGTTTTAAATGAAATTTAATGATTTAAGGAAGCATTCATTATAAATCTGTAATGCTTTCTAAAGAAGTATCTACAATCACCACCAAGTTTGTTACTGACACCTTGGTAGTACTTGGATGGACCCTCCTTTGCTTTAATTCTTAGTTGCATAAATTCAATAAGGTGTTGTAGTCCTGTTCAACCACATCCCAAAGCTGCTATTGGACTGAGATCTGCTGACTGTGGATACCATTGTTGTTAGAGACCAGACTCATCAGAGTGTTTTTCCAATCTTCTGTTGTCCGTTTTTGGTGAGTCCTATGCCCTTATGCATACCTTGGGAGTAACAAGTGGTTATGTGAGCTACTGCTGATTTTCTGTCTGTTCAATTTAGCTCGGCTAAACTCTATGTGTAGCTGCATGTGTGCATCACCCTTTTTTCTTTGCAAAAAAATGCATTTTTTCCTGTATTTTCCTGTACATTTTGAAGTAAACTGTGCAAATTCTGCAAACAGAATTTCTAATTACATTAATGTGCCTTTTTTATAATTAGAAAATTTTACATTTACACTAAGTTTTTAGCAGTATTCTATTCATTACAATTGAACCTTCACAAAAAAGTACCAGTGACAACAGTAACATATGGCTGGACTATCTTTGACTTACCTCAGCAAGACAACTTTACCCTTTGAACCCACCGCTAAGTCAAGCAGTCCATCACCACTCTGGTCAAAAGCCGACTGACTGATTGACAGGCCAAAGAACTTCAGTCCTGACTGGACCTCAGAGCCAGCAATTCTCTGTGTGAATGAACATATTTTAAATAATAAAGCTGCAGGTTGTATAGATGCACTTTTACATCACAGATAAGTTTATTAATCATTGTGAGTACTTTGATGCTGTGTACCTGTGAGTAAGTAGAACTGATTCTTTCGCCTCCTTCACTGTGGAATATGTAGATGCTGCCTTCACCATTATTCTCCAAAGGTGCTCCAACTGCCAAATCCCTGAATCCATCTGAGTTTAGATCAGGCAGCACAGCAAGAGAAGAGCCGAACCTTCCTTTGACAGCTGCACGTCCTCTTAGTACTAACAGATCATCAAAATTACACTCCACAAACTAAAAGCAGGAGAGTGAATATTATATGATCATTAGGGAAGTTGACAAATAAAATAATTAATTTAATTGAAGTGGATAAAACTTTGATTTACCAAACCAGTTAGTCTGCAAACATAAACTCTTCCCTCTCTATCAGGCTCCATGTACATTGGGGCTGATATGAAGATTAGCTCAGTGATGTCATCATTATTTATGTCCATGGTACACACCTCTGCCCCAAAATATTCACCAGTCTGATACTGTGTAAGCAAAAAAATATACATTTTTATTTGAAAAAATAATTTATGTATAATTTAGATGAGATGAGATAGCCTTTATTTTGTCAGTTGCAGGTCTTTTGCCCACACCGAGATGACAGACTTTGCCGACCGTACATACAATACACAAACATCACATTGGGGAGACAGGTCAGGCTAAGTAGCTAGGAAAAAGAAACATCGAAATGTGTAACACAAAAGGATAATACAGGAATGCACAGATATCAACACACCATAGCACAATAAACACAGACAAGCAACATGGGAAAGTGTTCCAGTGTGTACATCTGATCTGGGACCGCTGCAATCTTTCGACTGCGCCTCCAGCTGACCCGATGTCCACATCAGAGGGGAGGTAAGCGTTGGAGGTGGCGTTGGATAGGAAGGGTGATGCGTCAGTGAGTGATCAGTATAGTGCGTGTCCATAGTTCAGCTGAGACAGTGTCCTTCGCCCTGCCAGGCTAAGTAAACAGTCTTCCAGCCAACCCAGGTGGCCTTGCATGGAATGGGAAGGAACAGACTCAACACAGTCGTTATCAGGGAGTTTTTGTTCGGCTCCAGCATTGAGCCCACAGCTGGCGCCGAAGGGGTAGCCGGATTATGATGGTAATTTTTCTTTTTACAAGGTCATTCAGATCTGTCTTGCTGTAAATTCATACCTGTGATGCCAACGGCTCAATCGTTTGGTTTTCAAAGTTGTCTCTGTTAACAGAGACCACAACTCCTCTGTGTTTATATCTTGGAGCACCAAGAACTGTCAGAGAACCACTTTGGGTTCTAGCAATTGCCATGGAGTAACCTAGAATTTGGTAATCAAAAAAGGAAAGACAACTTATTTCTCCTTTTAAATTTTTTTCATGTGCAAACTGATCCACTTGTTTGTGTAAAAGAATTACAGCAGAGCTGTGTATATACATGATCACATGTGTTTGAGTTAGATTGTTAAAGCTGTAATATTCTTACCAAGATAGCTGTCAGGCTCAAAAGACACATCCTCATATGTTTTCACCTTCTGGCCTCCTGTTGTGTATTGCACGTAGCCTCCCCTCCACTGGTTTGCACCAACAATAGACATCTGAATTCCCTACAGTGTAGACAGAAAATACATTTAATATACAATAAATTTTTTATTTAAAATCTGGACTGTGTTCAATTATCTGGTTGCCTTCAAGTTACAAAAGGTGGCACATGTGAATCTCTCTTTCTCATCAGACTAGACTGTCTGATGAGTTTCATGTAGTTTTAATTACCTCAGGTGCATAAACTGTACTAAATCCCTCTTGAGACATTTCCATTTTCAGTGACTCTCCACTGCTTTCTGTGACAGAAAAATAAACAAGACAAAATTTTAATTATACTAAAAGTAAAGAATTCAAATGACTTTTTTGTTGTTTATTATAAATGTGCTGAGTATTTATTGCTCTTTTCATAAAGCAACAAGCTGTTTAACTTAAAATGAGACAAAATTTGTAACATGCAATAAAAAGAATACAATGTGACAGGAATTTTAACAAAGCTTTAATGTTGAATGTATATTTGTACCTTCAATGGGAAAAATTTTGTCCTGTAGATTCTGTCTTATTTCTTCAAGTGCGCTGAATTCCTTCACTTCAAACACATGTTTTTCTGAGGGAGATGATGCAATGGTGTGCAGTTCTTGTTTTGCCTCAGGTTTATCAAATGCATCCCCGACCTGGAGATTGGAAAAACTATGATTAAGTTTTCATACTATTCAAGATCATTTGCTGACTTTGGTAAAATACAGTCCTTAAATCTCACCTGATTTAAAATGAAATCTACACACAGATATTATACTCTCTAACACTGAAAAGAACTCAAATCAACAATAACAGTTATTTCTTGTTGACTGAATGGCAGAACTAATTCACAGCATGTCTGACAAGTGACAGCATCATCAATCAATACGAAACTCAATATTCTACAAGTTTAAATAACTGAAGTGCTTACCCCAATAACAAATCGAGCAATTGATTTATTTTTTGCTTGCTCTACTGCACCTTCCAGGTTCTCACGGTCATTAGATGCTCCATCAGTAATTACAATCAAGACCTTCTTCACATTTGGTCTGGAGCCTTGCTGTGGGCTGAAAACTTTTTCCCTATCAAATAAAAAAATAATAATAAAATGAAATTTCAACACAAAGTATTTTTAAAAGTGCACCTTGTGGTCATACATATTTCAGTGTCATTCATATTTTTCATAATTTTTCCAAAATACAGATATTTTTGTACTTTGCAGATGCAGCATTAGATCTGCATGTATTTCAAATTGGCCTTGGTTTGTGCCATCTTGTCCACTTTGTAGAACATAATACTGAACATGCACAGTAGTTACTGTGGTCAGATTCACTGAAAAATGCAATGCTTCAGTAATATCTTTGCATCACTTACACAACTTCTTTGATGGCCTTAGCCGTGAAAGTCTGTCCCATGTGTTGCTGAATTCTATTGATTTTATCTTCCATTTCAGTTAAGTTAAATTTTTGAAAGTTAAAATGAATCTGTGGTGCACTGGAGAACTGGGAAACAGAAAACTGAAAGAAAGAAAAAATATGTGAAACATGTGTTAGATTATATTTTATGGTGTTAAATGCAAACAAAGATGTAATCTATGTCATGATTTGCTGTTATTTAAGTAGCAGAGGGACAACAGTGTCTCACCTGTGTGTCACTTGAGAGAAATGATACAATTAGATCTTTCACAAACTTCTTCATTGTTCGAAAATCAGGACCAGATACGCTGCCTGAACCATCCAACAGAAAGGCAAGGTCGGCTTGTGTTTCACAGTCTGTCAAAGAAATGGATTCAAAATTAGATTTAGTTTTATGGGGTGATTTTTATATTTTTTCACTCATATAAAAAGCAAAGCAAAAGAATTTTGCACCTCGGTAAAGGCATTATGAATAACACAAAGACAATCTATGTAGTATGCATTTGCTAGTTAATCACTAAAGTACGTATGTTTGTCTATTTAGTGGCATAGCTCAGTCGCTGTTGTCTATGTTAGTTTAACAAGAGAGACAAGAAGATTAAGGGATTAAATGAGTTTGGTCCAAAAATCTTATCAGGGTTTTACCAAAGTTAATGTATAGGATCTCCAACCACAATTATTCTTAGTCTTATTGTTTACATTTATTTTTATTTCTTTAAGAAAATACAGAAAAGCTTAAATTATTTGAAATCCCAGAAGGTTGATTGTGCTCATGTGGATGCAGTGTTTACAGTGGGTTTCATCACTCATCCAAGTGTCTTTCTCAGTCTCAGGTGACTACAGGATTTTCCAACCTTCTAAACATCCAGATGAACAGAATCGACTCTGTCACTTAGAAGCAAGACAAAACATCTCAGTTTCTTACACAAACGTCTTGTGAGTTAAAAATGTTTGTATAACATGACTCAAAACAATTAGTACAGACTACTAGACCTGTTCAATCAAGAAATAACTTAAGTAGAACCTGCATGACAAACTGAAGCATGCTAAAGATCTCAAAAAGCATCATGCCACGATCTAGAGAAACTCAAGAAGAGATGTGAAATATATCTTTGACATCTGTAAGTCATTTCTAAGTTTTCTGGACTCAAGCAAACCATGGTGAGAGCCATTATCTATAAATGGAAAAACTAAGAACAACTAAGAACAGGTGAACCTTCTCAGGAGTGGCCAGCCTACCAAAATTACTCCAAGAGCACATCGGCGATTCATCAAGAAGGTCACAGCCATACCCAGACCAGCATCTAAAGAACTGCAGGCCTCACTTGTCCCAGTTAAGGTCAGAGTTCACGATTCAACAATAGAAAAGAGACTGGGTAAAAATGGCATACAAATAGAGAGTTTGAGGAGAAAAATCACCAAAAAAGCACAAAGACTCGTCTCACATTTGCCAAAAAATATCTTGGAGATTCTGGGGAAATATTCTGTACACTGAAACAAAACCTGAACTTTTTTAATTGTTTGAGTCCAGTTAAATCTGGAGAAAAACCAACACAGCATTTCATTAAAAAAGCATCACACCAACAATGAAACATGGTGATTGCAGTGTGTCTAGGGCTGATTTTGCTGCTTCCTAATGATTTGGCGTAATTGATGGATCTATGAATTATGTTCTCGACCAGAAAATCCAAAATGATCATGTCAAAAGCTCAAGCACATTTGGGTCATGCAACAGGAGAATGATCTAAAACAACCAGCAAGTTGAACTCAAGTTGAGAGAATAAAGGTTTTGAAGTTGCCTAGTCAAAGTCTGGACCTAACGCAGATTAACATGACATTAAAAAGGGCATTCACAGTCTAAAACCCACCGGCGGGCTGAATTAAAACACTTCTCAAAAAAAAAAAGTGTGCTGTGGAGGTATAGTAAAGACAAAACAGAAGCTCTAACTTTCCACTCCGATTTTATTCATCACAACACATTAACTGAACACGTCGCGCCACACAACTCGACAAAACCTGTCCTCCCTGCTTGGGTGTGAGTGGAGCCCTCTAGTGGGCCGCCACAGGGCCAAAATTTCTCCACAGCCATGTGACACACTCATTGACATTTTTTCCTTAATAAATGGAATCATCATTTAAAATCTGTTTTTTCTCAAATACATTATTCATTGTAGGTACATTTTCACAAACTCTGTTTACTATTACCGTCAAGAGAAGATGGTATCGGTGGTCCAAATGAATTAGAACTGTCAATCTGAAAGCACACACCGTTGTACATGGTGATACTTTTGCAGTGCTTTGGGATGGATGGACAACACACCTAAAAACAGACAAAGACAAGTTCTGATTAGGCTGATTATTTCCTGTCCCTGTTTCCTTTATTCCATATAAAAATCAATCAGATCTAAAAAAAAATAAATAAATTCCCACATAAATCTTCAGTATCAGCTAATGTTTTTGTTTTTTTTAAAAGAATTTCTGATTCTGCTCTCTTTCAGGAACATGCGTGTGAATATGTGACAGGTTAAACCTGTGGGAACTCTGGAGGTGTGGTACTCAATCCAGTCTACAGAGCTCACTCAAAATACAAACCTCACTTCTATTCCCTTGTCATCTTTCTACATTCAGAGAGACCTGCTTTTCCTCTCTATCTACACCACACTGAACATTATCTGTACCAGTAAATCGTAGAAGGTCTGGGACTTATGTAGCACTTTTCTTATACAACCTCACTCATTCACACCCACTCAAACAAATGTTTTTTTTCTATCCTTTTCCTATGTAAGTGCTTTCTATCTGACATTTACATGCATGCATACTCTGACAGATGCATCAGAGTGCAGCTTGGGGTTAGTATCTTGCCCAAGTATGTGTGGCATGCATTCTGGTGCAGATGGGACCACAGTCACCCAGTAACATTAAGCTAATATGTAAAATGTGTTGTTTTTTTAAAATTAGCTGATTCTGTGGAGAACCACTGGAAGGTTCAGTGATTTTTCACAATGCAATTTTTAACACAAGACATTTTACATACATAAGACAGTTGAGTTGGATCATCAGTGATTTTAAAAAGTACTTAACATAAGGGCTGGAGCTAGCAACTCACCACAGTGTTTTCTCCAGAGGGATCACTTGCCATTGACATACCAAGGGACACATTAGCTGTCAAATCTGGGGCTGTATTTAAAGAATGCAATATTTGTTAAAACACAAAAAACTCCTTGATAATGGAAGAAACAGTGAAGCCGAAGACTACAAAGCACCTCAATTAATACACTTCCCTTTTTACATGATCAATTTACACGGCACATTTACAACAGAAAGGAATGCAACACAGAATTCACTTTCACTATAACTTCATTTCATAGCTGTAAAAATTTAAAAAGTAAGTTGATCTCAGTTTTGAAGGCTCAATATTAAATACAAAGATATCAAACCAGGTTTCGGTGCCAGGGTCTGAGCAGAATTTTTGCAAAGGTAAAATAGTTACTGTTGAAGTTTTAAGACATTTACAAATTAATGGTTACCTACCTTCTAGTTTTATATCTTGACATTTTGGAGGAGAAGTGGTGCAGCTATATATTCCCCCATTCTCGTGTTCAAGTGGGGCACTGACGATCAAACTATGGAGATAAATCCAGACCACAATGTAAGTCTAGAGAGCAAACTGTGGTTAAATACACTACATATCTTTTCTGTTAAGAAATATTGCATGTTTGTTCATTTATTACTAACCTATTATGATGTTTGTTAGAAGAAAATTAGTAATAAATAGCAATATTCTTAAAAAGCAAATAGTCCAATTGCAAGCATAGATTTAACAAACATGTATGTGTGTGTACGTGTGATACACTAACATACACACACTTTATCAATGTGTCTTGAGACTTACTCTGATTTTCTTTGAATCACCTTGTACCCAAAACCAGGAGCAGAGCTACTCAGGGTCTTCCAAGCCCCAGGATCAATATTGAAAGAAAGTGCAGGATTTAACACTGAGAATTAAAGAAGCAAAAAAAAAAACATTTGTTTTACTATAAACAACTTTAATCTATTACTTATATAGTAATAGAGGTACTCTAATGTGATTATAGCACCTCTGTTGAATACCACATACAGAAAATTGTATAGAGTCTGTGTTTCTCTTTATTTGTGTTGGAGTGTAGCAGTTTGAACTGAGGTCTGCCTCAGTGGGTGATCTTTTATTACAACTAGAGAGCACATAAGCTAGATATTTTTAAATTCTAAGAACTCAGAGCAATTATTGTCTTGTAAAACACACTCAAGACTTCAGTTTGGAGTCAATTTTATGTCTTAAATTCCATATATACAGTCAAAAGTTTGGACACATCTTATTTAATAGTTTATCTTTATTTTTAGTACTTTCAACATTGTAAAGACATACTAAAGACATCAAATATATACATGATATATTGAATTATATAGCAAAGAAAAAAATATAAATAACTCTAAATATGTATTATATTTTACATTCCTGAAAGTAGCCACCCTTTGCTTTGCTGACAGCGCTGCAAACCCTTGGCCATCCCTTAATGAGCTTCATAATGTGGTCAGCTGAAATGGTTTTCACTTCACAGCTGTGCCTTGTCAGGTTTCATTTGGGTAAATTCTTGCCTTCTTGATGAGATTGGGACCATCAGTCAGTGTGTTGTGCAGGAGTCAGGTTGATACACAGCTGACAGTCGTATTTGACAACTGCTAGAATTCATATTATGGCAACAACCAATCAGCTAAGTTAATTGTCCATCATTACTTCAAGAACTGAAGATAGTTGGACTGCTGAGTCTTGTCCTGTGGAGGTGGTCACAAGCGCATGGCACAACATAGAAGAGCCACCTCCACAGGACAAGACTCAGCAGTCCATCTGCATCTTAAGGATAAAGGACATTCTTTCCAGGATGCCAATGTTCACATTTTGGACAGAGAGGACAGATGGTTTGAAAGAGGAGTGAAAGAAGCCATCTATGTCCACTGTGAGCGACCATCTTTGAACAGAGGCGGTGGTTTACGACACCAACTCTCTGCCATCTATAATCCAGTTTTGAGTTCCCTTCCCAGACGCCTTAACGCCCACTCACATCCTGGGCCATCTGACCTCTGGAATTCGCATGATAAGGTGAGGCCAGGTTTCACAATGAGCTCACCCGAAACCCTGGCTGATTGGGACCCACACCCAGTTTCACACCTTGGCTCAGGCGATTAGAGGATCATCAGCGGATCCTTTTGTCCCTCTGTGGGGGGAAACTCCCACTAGGTTTATATCTGGGACTCTCCACCATTTGACCTTAGAACTGAAGAAGCTTCTCGGATGAGAGGTGAAACGTCTTCAAGCAACTTAAAGAAGTCCAGACGCTTTTCTTTGCAAGCTCCTTTGACTACAATGACATGGATGACTGAGAACCTTCACAGACATGTTCAGAGGAGTGTGAGAATCAGGCCTTTATGGTCAAATATCTGCTAAGAAACCACGACTAAGGAAAAGAAACAAGGAGAAGAGATTTTTTGAACCAAGAAAGACTAGGATTGGACATTGGACCAGTGGAAAGCTGTGCTTTAGTTCTGATGAGTCCAAATTTGAGAACTTTGGTTCCACCTGCTGAGTCTTTGGTGAGTGTGAACGGATGGTCTCTACATGCATGGCTTCCACCGTGAAACAGGGGGTGTGATGGTATGGGAGAGGCTTTGCTGGTGACACTGTTGGGGATTCATTCAAAATTTAAGGCACACTAAACCAGCATGGCTACCAAAGCATTCTGTAGCGACATGCCATCCTATTCAGTTTGCATTTAGTTGGACCATCATTTGTTTGTAAACAGGACAATGACCCCAAACACACCTCCAGCTTTGTAAGGGCTATTTGACCAAGAAAGAGATTGATGGAGTGCCGCGCCAGATGGCCTGTCCTCCACAGTCACCTGACCTAAACCCAGTTGAGATGGTTTGGAATGAGATGGACCGCAGAGTGAAGGCAAAAGGGCCAACAAGTGCGCAGCATCTCTGGGAACTCCTCCAAGAATGTTGGAAAACCATTTCAGGTGACAACCTCATGAAGCTCATCAACAGAATGCCAAGAGCGTGCAAAGCAGTAATCAAATAAAGGGTGGCGATTTTTGAAGAATCTAAACTATAAAACATGTTTTTGATTCCATATGTGCTCATTTATAGTTTTGATGCCTTCAGTGAGAATCTAATGTAAATAGTGATGAATATAAAGAAAAAAAATTAAATGGTTTCATAACCCCTTGAAAAGTAAATTTATTAAAACATTTTATTACAATGCCATGCCCTCAAGTTTAATTCTTGTCAACACAGTGTTAGTTAAATTATTCATCACGGGATCAAAAAGTACAATGTGACACTGGAAACAGGCCTCAAATATGTGATGATTTCATTAGCACAGAATTATTTATGGATTAATAATCAAGAATTAAATTTTGCAAAATTATTTATGAAAGGGTTTTTTCACTCAGTGCATGCTAGAGGTGAAATGCAATCAAAATATTGTACTCATTAAGCTATTTTTACACTCTGAAACTAACTGGGCTGATCACACGTCTCAGTAAGTTCGATTCACAGAGGAAAAAAAGGAAATGAGCACAACAGACATACTGCTCCATAATATTTTACTTAAAATGAAGGCATAACTAGACAATGAAAGATAAAAGGCACAAACTGCCTTACCTGACAAGAATATTGTAGCACTAATTAGCCAGTTCATTGTGTTACTCCCATGGAAAATCATTTTAACTGTGATATTTGGTTTTATTTTTAATTTTCACTGCTGAGCAAGGTGCCACTTCTGCTGAAAGCATGTAAGAAGGAGCCAAAAAGCAGAAATAATCAGGTGACTGATCAAAGCCGAGGCATCTTTAGAGGAACTCGATGAAGGAGGAGTTTCAATAGCAGCAGCGCTGTGTTATATAAGAGAGACTGTGGTGGTGGGTGGCCAACTAATTTAGTTTAAGCTCTAATTTTCTTAAACAATAGTATAACAGTAAAGTTTATTGACATGTGGACAACCAGATGAAATTATTTTAAATATAATTAAAATGTTAACATTTAAATAAAACCATCTGCCTCATTAGCAGGTCTAAGATAAATTTTTTGCTGAAAATTTGAGGTCAGTCCGATCAAATTCTTTTTGTTTATCACATTAAATTGTAAATAAGAAAAGGGAATGTTGAGCATCTAACATTATGACTATTACTTTCCCTGTAGTTGACTAGCAAGTTGAATTTGCTTCTTCAGATTTCTACTTAACACATCTATTCCTGTTGCATTGTTCAGCCCACAAGCCCTCCTGTCAGGAAGTTGGCCTCTTTTACGGTAAGTGTGTGCCACTAAAAAAGTGTAGCGTGCACTACAAAACCCAAAGTCTGAAACTGTGAGAACATCCGAGTTGCAAAATTTTATGTCTTTTCATGTCTGTTTTGTGCTTTCCCATGAGCTGAGTGAGAGACACAGAAACAGATGCAAAGTGCAATGTGCCCCGAAAATATGAACCTGCAACCTTTCCCTAGCTTGGCGGTTGACCTCTTCCTGCAGAGCACAGACGATCAAGAAAGGTCGAGAAAAGGTCAAGGATCAGTGTGCTGTGTTGCTGCGTCTGGTTTGGATTTCTAAGGGCAGGTTGGCAATGTTGCAACATGCTCAACCCTCTCTCACTCTCACTCTGTTTCTGTGTGTCTGTGTGCACGCAGACACACACATTTAGTGCATTCTACATGTACCCCCAAATTTATCTTCCTTCACATACTATTTCAAATGACCTCCAGATATTAGATGTTCTTCTTTGGTGAGGCAGCATATTTTACAATAACTGCAGCTAAATAAAATGTTTAATATAAGACAGAATGTAAAGGATGTGCTTGGAAGATGCATAATTTCGTTTAAGGAGAGTGTAAGAAACACTTACATAGTAGGCCATTCTTCCCTGCACATTTCTGGATAATATCGTCTACTCAACCCCTTCTATGTGGACTTCACCTAAACCCTAACTGCCTGTTATTCCATCGCATTTTGTGCCGTTCACTGAAACACTCTTTGCCCTTTGAGTGGCTGCTTGCTAGCACGTTACTCCAGCCCCAGTCCTGCTGAATGTCACAAGCCATCTCTGGTTGCATCCTGTTCTTTTTATAGTTGGGCAGCTGAAATGTGAGGGGTCACAATGGGAGGATAAATACAAGGGCCAGCAGGCTTGCAGGGGTGTCGCAGACGAAGGCCGGATCTTCTCCCTTCTTCTCTCTTCTCTCAGCTCTCCTCGCAACCTCAAAGGTAAAAGATTGAATTCATGCCCATGAAAAAAACAGCATTTCAAGTGGATTTGTTGGTTAGCTATTGAATGTTATGTTATAAAGCCTTGGCATAATGAGAGGCTTATGACCTGTATACCAGAGATAAAATAAAAACAGTGTTATGCATCTTCTTGTAGCTTTCACAACTGTGTGGTTAACATGACTCGAACTATATCAGTGTAACCCGCAGGTTCATGTCTGTTGGTTAAATGCAAGTGTGCGTCTTTTTTTTTTTTTACTTCAACGTCAATGAACCAGATGCTAGACAGATGAAAATATCTCATCACTTTCTATAGTATAACAACATTAAATAATGATTGTGATGAACTGTGAGAACGATTCTCCCTTGATATTAAACAAAGCTGATTGTTTTTGGTAAACTTCAGTCACCTACCTTTATCTGATGCAAAGTTTCCATTGAATCGTTGGTCAGTGGTGACTCAATAGTCTGACTAATTTCTTGCTTTACTAGATAAATTCATCTAGACTGCCTTCTGCAATGTGGCATGCCTCATCAACAGCCGGGTGGAACACTGCACATTTTCTTTTATGCAGCCCATTCATGCTACATGAGCTACAGTGCACTCACTGCCTCATGCAAGCAGTATACTGGGTACACTGGGTATATTTAGTCTAAAGTATTGATAGTGGCAACAGGGTGACAGTTGGAGGAGGTATGCGATAGAGGCCAGTCAAGAGGAATGGTGAGGGAAGGGGGGCTGTGGAGGGGAATGGAAAGGTCAGGGATAAGAGGCTAGAAAATGGAATAGGTCACGGACGTGCACACGATTTTTTAAGGGTGGTCAGATGCATGGAGGGTGGGGCATGTGATGGTGGTGGAGGGGGATTTGTGGTAGTTCTCTGACACTGGATCCTCTGTGAGGCTACATATTGTGCCTGGGGAATAGTGTGAAACCAGCGCACAAGCTGCTGCAGCAGTTAAAGCTTAAACAGCTGCTGTCGCATGTAGGACACAAGCTGGTCTGGGTTGTTTTAGCAAAAGATAGTCTGACAGGAAAACATAAAACCATGAGCCAGACGTTTTTGTTTTTTTTACCACTTCCTTCACACAATCAACCCGATGTTCTGTGCTCCTTTCATCTAGCAGTTTCCCACACATATACCCTGAAACTGTTACACTCAAAAGCAGATTTGCAGTGCAGTATAACCTTTCGCCTTGGCGCACTGTAAAAATGTATAACCCCTGTGTCATGTTCATTATTAATTTCTCAAATTTTTGTCTTCCCTCTATTTATATCAAGAGTCAGGATGCCTCACGCATACCCTTTCCTCACTCCTGAGCAAAAGAAGGAGCTCAATGATATTGCTCTGAAGATTGTGGCTCCAGGCAAAGGAATCCTTGCCGCAGATGAGTCAACTGGTAAGAAAATGAACCTATATACTAACAATCAGTTCTTTGGGACAGTCAACTCAACAGTTGCCAAAAACTATGGCTTAAAGGATTGCAGTTAGGGTACAGTTGAAACTGGTTTCACTGTGTGTGTTTTCTCAGACCTGAACTGAAACATTTCTGCAAACGTGCAGACAGACTGTGGCTTCCAACACTTAATAATATACTATGTTTTTATAGTCAATCTGATTTTATCTGTTTCTATAACCTCCAGGCAGTGTGGCCAAGCGCTTCCAGAGCATCAATGCTGAGAACACTGAGGAGAACAGGAGGCTGTACCGCCAGCTCCTCTTCACTGCTGACGACCGCATCAATCCCTGTATTGGTGGCGTTATCCTCTTCCACGAGACCATGTACCAGAAGACCGACGATGGCAAGCCTTTCCCTCAATACCTCAAAGAAAGAGGCATGGTGGTGGGTATCAAGGTCGACAAAGGTGTTGTCCCCCTGGCAGGAACCAATGGCGAGACAACCACCCAGGGTGAGCACAGAAAAGATCCAGACATCATCCGTATTACATAATTATCTTTTAATATCTTTATCTAATGTATTGTGTATGTTTGTCCTTCCTAACAGGTCTCGATGGGCTTTATGAGCGTTGCGCCCAGTACAAGAAGGATGGTGCTGACTTTGCCAAGTGGCGTTGTGTTCTGAAGATCACCCCCACCACGCCTTCAAGACTGGCTATCATAGAGAATGCCAATGTCCTGGCTCGCTATGCCAGCATCTGCCAGATGGTAAGACACAACAGACAGATAACCCAGTTTAACTGAATTTTACAAGATTTATTATTGGGTCTATTTAAAAAAAAAAAAAAAACGTTAAAATATTTTTGCTGTTTTTGCTTGTGCATTTGATATGATCATGCCACACACATACTTCCTGCATGGGTAAAAACACACAATGAGGAAACCTCATAATGTGCCAACAAGCTCAAAAAGCTTATCTCCAAATTAATACTATGTCATAGTATTATCAAGGCAGCATAACATTAAATTTTTAAAGTCTTCACTTTTGGATTTCAGGTCTTGCCTTCCGAATATGAGCTCCTATTTTACCCTGTCTTTGTGTCCTTGGCTTTCCTAGCACGGTATTGTCCCCATTGTTGAGCCTGAGATTCTTCCTGATGGTGACCATGACCTGAAGCGTTGTCAGTACATCACTGAGAAGGTCCTGGCTGCCGTCTACAAGGCCCTGTCCGACCACCACGTCTACCTGGAGGGTACCCTGCTCAAACCCAACATGGTTACCGCTGGACACTCTTGCTCACACAAGTACACCAACCAGGAGATTGCCATGGCAACTGTTACTGCCCTGCGCCGCACCGTTCCCCCTGCAGTTCCTGGTAAGAAAGTACATCACACGCTTGCTGATATGCACACTTTTACACTTTTTTAGACATAATCTTTTATGACTAATCTGCATTAGATCTGCAATCTGGGTTGCTAAACTCTACCTGCTTTGCAGGTATTACCTTCCTGTCTGGTGGTCAGAGTGAGGAGGAGGCCTCTGTCAACCTGAACGCCATGAACCTGTGCCCCCTGCACAAGCCCTGGGCACTCACCTTCTCATATGGCCGTGCACTGCAGGCTTCTGCCCTGAAAGCCTGGGGTGGGAAGAAGGAGAACGGAAAGGCATGCCAAGAAGAGTTTGTAAAGAGAGCTCTGGTATGTCTGAATATGAACTGTGTAACTAAAATATAAAGCTATATGAAAGAGTTGTATTATTATTATTAACATCAAACTCATGCTCTAGAGTCCTCTTGTGCATTAAATAATATCATATTTTCTATCTTACAGGCTAACAGCCAGGCCAGTGTGGGCAAATATGTTTCCTCTGGAGCCAGCGCTGCTGGTGGAGAGTCACTGTTTGTGGCTAATCATGCTTATTAAGCATAACCACCCTTTTTCCATCCCTACCCCTCCATTATTACATCATCACGGAAAAGGACACGTCCCTTAAGGCACCACCTATGAAATTCACACTCTACTATTAAACACTACAACAGAAACAGCAGCACTTTTACATCTCAGTAGGAAGCAAAAGAGAAAGAAAGAAAAAAGCTTTGAGTGGTTGCTGCAGCTAGAAGACTAAAACACGTTCTTCCTCCATTCCCTTAGCTTTTATTTTTAAACACCTTTTTTCAGGTGAAGATTCCCACACTGTTTTTACACAACTTGTACTATTTTCCTTGGTCTGCTTCCAGTAAGTTCAGTATATCATTTATACTGTTACCATGGAATAAAGTATTTACCGTAGCGTGATGCTTTCCTTCCTTTTTCTGGTTTTACTTTGTGTTTTACTTCTCACTGCTCAACATTTAAGTTCCCATTAAACTAACACTGTCAGTTGCCATAATAATTGCACTTCAAGCAGAACTAGCCTTACGTGGTTTACTGATCTAGCTTTATTTTTATTAGCAAATGAAGTTTGCTGCAGGGACTGTAAGGTAGCAAATTACCAAACAGAAGTAAAATATGTCCTTGTTACTGTTATTCTAAAACCTCTGTTCTAACTGTTTCGGATCCCCAGAGGATTGATTCTTTGTTACAAGTTGAACTGTTTGCACATAAAAAGTAGAAACATTAAGAAAAAACAGGAGTTTGTCTTTGTAGGTTTTCACTAATCCAGGTCATGATAGTCCAAGGAGCTTTTTTTTTTTTTTTTGCCTGTCCCGTTTGGCTCTTTTGCCATCAGAATTGTTGTCTAAAGGCAAAGAAAGATGCCCAACGGATTTACTTTACCAAATTGACCATCCCAGCCTTGCCGTAATGGTCCATTTGATTCACCTTTTATTGTTTATTTTATTTTCACTTACTGAATACGGGACAGACTTGACTGGGGGAAAGAAGGGGAGAAAGAAAGAGGGAAAGAGAAACAGCTGAGAAGAGGGACGGGGGAGAAGGGCAAAAGACAAAAACCAACAGAACGGGCAGAGAAAAAAAAATGCATATATCAATCACCTGGATCACCTGCTGAGAAAGAAAAAAGAAAACAAGCAGAAGAGAACAAGAGTAATAGAATAAACAACATCACAATGATATATGGGAATATGACAGTAAATACTAAATTTAAACATTATTGTGCAGCACATAAGATCAACAGAACACAGTGTGCTTTGAGGTAGGAGCCAAAAAGGGTGTAGTTTGTGGGTGTGATCACCCGTGTGTACACCTGTGAGCATGGACGCGCTTGTTTTTTGTTTTTTAAAAGGTTCCTTCATGTAATGTCTGCTAGAGGGTGTGGGGGGGCCACAGCCCCGTCCTCCAGGGCATGAAGCAGGTATGGAGGAGATCAAAACTCCAGACATCCAGAGGCCCCCAGAACACAAGAGACCAAGGAAGACCAACAGAGGGGCAGCCGCGCCACTGTCCCAGAAAGAGCTGAGGAGAGTCCCAGATGAGGGCTCACTCAGCAGCCGCGGAGCAGAAGCCAGGGGGAGTTGCAGTGACGCGCCCGTGAGCTCCGCCGGCAGCCAGCCGCGCCTGAGTGACCGAGCCCCAGGCCGAGAGGCCGGGGGCACCCCACCTCCGAAGTGGCCCGAGCGAGCCCCAGGCTCCAGGCCCCGATAAGCGGCCGCCAAGGAGTGAGCCGGTGTGTACCTGGACGCCCATCCCCGGACACAAAGAACCACCAACGCACCGATGTCTGAGGGGGTCCGCCACTGGCAGGGGAAGTGGTGGTAGGGGGAGATAGGCCTCCAAACCTTGGAGGGCCTGAGATGTCCCCAGAGAGGTGGCGCCTGACACCCAACCTGACATATAGACACAGACATACAGGCACACACAGATACAAACATCCATTCCCACCCTCATGCTCTCATATGCACTTACTCCACACTCAACCAACGTGGAGACAGACATAAAGAGACGCTGTACACACGATCACACTCCCCAAGCATACTCTACAAACCGGGTCTCGGTGCCCCCGCCCCTGGAGGGGGGGAACTGCACCCAGTCCAAGGAGCTTTGATAGAAACCTACTGGACTCCTTTGGGTCCATGAAGAGGTTTCACCTCTCATCTAAGAATCTTTTTCAGTTCTGAAACCAAATGGTGGAGAGTCCCAGCTATTTAAACATTAATGGGGGTTGTCATAGAGCAGCTGCTCAAATAAGTTCTATCATTAATTAATGTTAGAATTTTAAGCATGATCAAATTGTCTGTATTATCTGGCTATGTACTTTTGTATTAGAAATTCTTCAGTAATTTTAAAACAACTGATCATCTGCAGAGCAATGGTTTATTTGAAGATTTTCAGTCAGGTTTCAGAGCTCGTGACAGTAAAGAAGCAGCTTTAGTGCAGGTTACAAACATCTTGTAGTTGTTGATCTCAAATGTTCCAGCACGAGTACTGACGGGGACTACAAAGAGACATCATCTTTCTCCTATACTGGCTTCCCTTCATTGGCTCCCTGTTAAATCCTGAATTGAATTTAAAATCCTGCTCCTCACATCTTATCTTCATGACCTTTAAAAGTAGAATGGGAGGCAGAGCCTTCAGACCCCCTCTCTGCTTTTAAGATTAGGCTTAAAACATTCCTTTTTGATAAAAGCACATACTTATGGTTGGATAAGGTGATCCTGAATCCTCCCATAGTTATGCTGCAACAGGCTGCTGCGGGATTCCCATGAGTGTTTCTTCTTCAGTCACCTTTTTCAATCACTATGTTTTATACACCTCTCTAAATTTAATTATAAGTTATTATTAAACTCTGGCTCTCTTCCACAGCATGTCTTTGTCCTGTCCTCCTCTCATCTCCCTACCCGTCACCCCTCACTCAGCCTGGTTCTCCTGGAGGTTTATTCCTGATAAAGGAAGTTTTTTTATTCCCACTGTCGCCAAAGCGCTGGCTCATAGGGAGTCAGTATGATTGTTGGGGTTTACTATGTTTTCTTTGTAGTATTGCAGGGTCTTTACCTTACAACATAAAGTGCCACAAGGCAATTGTTGTTGTGATTTGGCACTATGAGTATCTGATGAGTATCTAATAATGTAACAGGACATACATCAAACATAACAGGAGATAAGCCACTTTAACGATCCTTGATACATCCAGGTTTATTTAAGAAGCCTGAGTTTAAAATATTGTTTTCTTGATCTAAAATTTCCATTTTCTCTGATTAGATTGGAGCATGGCGTAACAGGAAGAACTACATGTCAAATTTAAAGGTGTCAGCCGTTCTCTTGGACAAAGAAAATGTCATTGGGTGCATCAGTTGCAGTTTCAGATCAAGCCTTTGACCATAAAGTACGGTTTCAAAGAGCATAACTGGTGACAGCTCACAAGCCCGAGACAGAAGTCATCGCGACCACATCCATCAGTGTATCAATGCAGAACCTCTCTTAAAAATTGCTTCCCCAAATGTTCCCACCCACAATTTCCCTGTCTCCTCAAATACTCAGATCACTAAAATAAAACTCATATTTCAGAGTTCTGGGAAGGTTTAAAATGACATGAGCAGCCTCTGAATTAAAAATCTATAACAGGAAGAAAAAAAGCCAAAACCAAAAATCTAGTAGATGTTGTACGTTACGTCCAAACATACACAACTGAGCATATTTATATATTCATATATCTTCTGCATATCTCTTCCAGTCTTGTACATAATGTTCAGTAACACCAGCAAATCAAAATTAGAACCTTTAATTTTAGCTTGTTTCCATATCCAAGGTACTCTAGTTTGGCTGAAAACACAAATTGATTTATAAAGTGATTAACAAAAGAAAAAATATTGATGTAGTGAGTGTAGTGAAAGAAAAGAAAAGCTGATCCACCCGAGCTACAGTGCAGTTATGTTATAGTTGACTATAATGTTTTTTAAAATCAAAATACTTTAAAAACCAATTACCAATTTATGTAAGTATTTTTTAACATTATAAATTGAAATACACTTTGTTGTACTAAATATACATCGATTAGTGTGCCATTACATCTAACAAATTCATGCATCGTCATAAACTTTATTCATTCAGTCAAAAATACATGAGTGGGTGCTAGTTTACGCACTGTACCTTTAAAGACAAAAAGAGCAGAAGAGGAGATATTTTTAGTGTTAAACTAAAATGCAGTCTAGCAACATTTTCACTGAGAAGATAAAAAGTCCAAGCTCAGGTGCAAACGTGGCTGAATTTCCAGAGTTAGTGCTGCCAGTGGAGTTGTTGCTGCGACACACAAAGCTGCTGTCTGTGTCGGTGCCACTAGAAGTAAAGCTCACAAAGCCCACATTGGCCCCTGCTACTTGATTTGTGATCCAAGTCTGGAATTCAGACACTCGAGCGTAGACCTCAGGGAAACCTGCCTGAGCACAAGGTACTCCAAAACTGGTAATACCAGCCTGGATCCACTTGGAACCCTGTTTGCACTGCAAGGGTCCACCTGAGTCCCCCTGAAAAGAGTAGGATAAAACACAAACATTAAGAAGGGGACTGAAACAGCATATTCTCAAAACTAAAAAAGTTTATATTTACATTATAGGGCTGAAATTGCAAAAAAATAAATAAATAAATAAATAAATAAATAAATAAATAAATAAATAAATGGGTTTTTCTGTAAGGGAGAATACATATTACAACAATTTGCTTTTGTTTTAACCTGGCATGCTCCTTTGTTCTGTTGCCCCGCACAAATCATTTGCTGAGTGATGTTCGCATCTGTTGCTGGGATATAATTGCAGCTGCACTGTTTGTTTCCAATAACAGGAATCTGAACTTCTTGGAGGGGTGCATTAGCTGGCAAAGTCTCTGTGAAAGGCAAAACATGAAATGAGTCCACTCTCGTCCAGTCTTACGAATTCAAAAGTATTTTCAATGGATATGTGCAAACGATAACACGAATGATGATGTGATTATTCAATATCTAAACCCCCACAAAAAACTGACATTCCTGTCAGCAACAAACAGTTTGTGCATCTGTCTAGCAGTTCAGGCACCAAAAAGTATTATGCGAATATGTGAACTGCGCACCTTGCAGGGTGAAAAACTTTAATAGCAACAACTTTTAAAGGAAGTAACAAAGAGCGCGTTGTGTGTGACGTCTTCTTTTGCGCATGCGGGCCACTTTGAGGGCCATTTCAGGGAAGTGGAAACACATGGAGAAACAGCTGACTGTAATAGACATAATGACACCACAGGGGAAGTCGAACAAAACACATTGAACATGAAAAATCCTGGCTTTTCAAAATAAAACAGGAAACATTGAGAGACATGACAAAACAAGCTTGACAATAAGAAACACACTAGGTCACAGACCCAGCCCCT